GTTTCATCCATCTCCACCTTATACGGTGTACGATCCATTAGGTTCCTTTTAGCGAGGCAGTGGGCGATCAAAACTCTTTCAAATCGATTATGAATTGAAACTTACTTTCAATTCTCCCTTTAGTGATAATACACTTTTAGGGCTTCCACAAACCATGAGTGACACCTAGCCGTATGTCATGGTTACCCAAGCTAATCATAAGAGGTTAAGAACCTATTCAGTTTAGGATTACAAATGCAATACGGTCCTTCTCTAATACAATACTCTTGACCACATTGTTTGGTTTGATAATTTATTCATGTCTACTATCCAATGTGAATCTTGTGCATATATGATTACTTTGAATGTGATTTGGAACGCATTCCTAAATCTCATTCATACTCTGGCCAGAGATTCTAAATCATATCATAGAGTATTCTCCCTCAAACGATTTGAAGGTTAGAGATCCCTTGTTGCGCATTCACTTGCCTCCATGACTAAGTGGCTTAACCCCAACGATGCCGTGGACACCCCGATGGGGTGACATTGACATAATCAAAGATCAAGGACTTAACCACAAGACAACTGTGATGCCTCAGGTCAAAGGACTAATTTGCATTATCCCAAACATGAGTTCTCATGTGACATGAGTATGAGAACTCTTCGTTGATCACGTTCAGTGAACTCATTCTTTACTGAGCACCTACGTACTTGTCTTGATGTCACACACACCAATGACTCGAGACTAGTCACTCTCCCTGAGAGAAGACATAGCACGTACCGATCTTGACGGACTGTCAATGCCCAATTGGCAATCCTATGATCAGGAACATTTAGGATGTGTCTACGAAAGAATGGTCTCATGAATCTAACTTCATTAGATTACATTCTTCCAATCACATATTCCTTGGACTTTATCGTTTAAGCATATAACATTTATATGAGACGGCTCAAACAATAATCTTTGCCCTTTATATTAAACTAGATTAGTTTAACATGTGAAATGTCCGTAAAGTATCATCACATGATTGGTTTTAGGGCACATTTCCAACAATTAGTTTGTTAAATGGCTTTCAACGTCAGATCGATACTCTGCAACATGCATCTTCTAGGAATTGCGAGCAATTGGTTGTACATTGAAGTGACATGATTTCGAAATCTCAGTAAGAAGAAGTTTGGTTAAAACCAGTTGAAGATCCGAGATGGCAATGTCATTCTACAACATGTGTTCCCTAGGAATTGCAGATGGAGTCAGATCTACATAGGAATGTTAGGAAACGGAAAGTTGGTTAAGACCAACTGGAGACTTAAGACGATGATGTTACTTTACGACATGCGATCACTAAGAATGGTGGGCAAAGTCACATTTATACGGAAATTATTCAAAACTTTCTAAATACGTGTTAGAGAAAGCGAGTAAACGCTAGTTGTTAAGAAATTTTGTAAGTGGTAATTGGTCGGATCAAATCAACATTCTCAGAGTCGTTCCCGCTGTGGAAGTTTATGTGGATCCTTAGAACAATCCCCAACGATTGTTCTATCGATTACCTTTTTGCTTACTCCAACAACGAAGTCAAGTTCCCTAACCATTGACTGTCAGCTTCATACCAAATCCTTCGAGCGTTGACTTCGTTTAGATTTTATACTTTTCTTGGGAGACTCTTTAGTAGCATACACTATTCTCATCAATTTCCAAAAAGGGGTTGTGACCATTGTAAGTTGAAATTGCTCACAGAAGTTGTGAAATACGAATTATCCTTATACTTGTTTTGACCCTCAAATTCTTGAGTGTTCTTTTAGCCTTTTTGACATGGTTTCTCTCTTAATCCGTAAGGATGTCACGAAGGGTCGACTCGGCTGAAATGTGCGCTCAGTTAGTATCGATTCAGACAGGAACGTTAGGAGCATAACCTTTTCACAAGCTTACCAATTATTCGCAAAGAGTTCCACGTGGATGTGGGGTTTGAGCTGTCTTTTAGTAAGAGTATGATGAAGGTTGTAGTGCAGGTGGTTAGCGGATTACATCATCAATCACTATCTCCATATAGAAATGAATAGTCACCTCTTATTATTTTGCTACAATTCATAAAAATCATATTGTACTATGGTAGATCTTTTCCAACGATATGATGCCTATGAATTGTAGCAAGATGATGAGATGTGTTCGCCTCAAAGCATCTTTCCACTGCTTCACTCTAGGACCTTATTGTTCGTGAGTATGTGGATGTCGAAACATTTTTAGTAGATCTGATTGGTGTGCTCTGGAACAGTACAACACAGCGGTTGAGGCGAGAATCGTACGATCTTTGTACACTCTCATGTTGCGGGGCAAAATGATATTCGGAAGATCAAATTTATGAGATGGAAAATTGTGCACCCACTACTACAATATTAGCTTTAGGTGTCGGACGATCTTGGCGGTTAATAAGTCATTCAAACGGATAAAAGATATCCGACACATAATTTATTTACTGTCGGATTAAAGTTACTTTCTGTCGGAAATATCCGACAGAAATTTCTGGCGGATTTAACCCTCAGTATTTTTGAATTCTTTTTTTTTTAATATTTTTAACATATTCTGGCGGTTTTTAAGTTAATGGTGGCGATTATAACCGACATAAATTGACTATTTTATTATTTTATTTTCTGGCGGTTATTATTTTATTATTCTGACGGTTATAACCGACAGAAATTGACTATTATATTATTTAAAATGTTATATTGATTAAAAATAAATAAATAAATAAACAAATGGTTTAAATATTTTTTTTTTCACTCACGGTCCCGTTACCTAATCTCTGAATGTTTTTTTTTTTTAGATTTTTTACACATGCTATCTTGGAGTATATACAAACATATTTGACTGTTTGATCATTGAAACTAGTTTTGTAGAATGCATATCCTATTAAATTGATAGATTTAACAAACACTTAAGAGTTAATGTTATACTTCCATTAAATATAAAAAATTATCCACTAGTGTAAATATTTTAAATTGAAGATCGAATTTGTTCAATCCATTCTTATAGGGTCGAGGAGTGTAGCTGTAAAAAATCATCAAAACCGGAGCTAAAATAATCGTTAAATTGTGATTTTTCGTTTATAACCGTCGAAAACTTTTGTTTTGTTACCTAATCTCTGAATGTTTGTTTTTTGTGATTTTTTAGGTATGCGATCTCGGAGTATATACAAACATATTTGACTGTTGGATCGTTGAAACTAGTTTCATAGAATGCATATCCTATCAAATTGATAGATTTAACAAACACTTAAGAGTTAATGTTATACTTCCATTAAGTATAAAAAATTATCCACTAGTGTAAATATTTTAAATTGAAGATCGAATTTGTTCAATACATTCTTATAGGGTCGAGGAGTGTAGCTGTAAAAAATCATCAAAATCGGAGGTAAAATAACCGTTAAATTGTGATTTTTCGTTTATAACCGTCGAAAACTTTTGTTCTGTTACCTAATCTCTGAGTGTTTGTTTTTTGTGATTTTTTAGGTATGCGATCTCGGAGTATATACAAACATATTTGATTGTTGGATCGTTGAAACTAGTTTCATAGAATGCATATCCTATCAAATTGATAGATTTAACAAACACTTAAGAGTTAATGTTATACTTCCATTAAATATAAAATATAATTTATCCACTAGTGTAAATATTTTAAATTGAAGATCGAATTCATTCATTGCATTCTTATAGGATCGAGGAGTGTAGCTGCAAAAAAATCATCAAAATCGGAGCTAAAATAACCGTTAAATTGTGATTTTTCGTTTATAACCATAAAAAACTTTTGTTCCGTTACCTAATCTCTGAATGTTTGTTTTTTACGATTTTTTACGTATGTGATCTTGGAGTGTGTACAAACAAGTTTGACGGTTGGATCGTTGAAAAACGTTTAATAGAATGTGTATCACATCAAAACGGTAGATTAAACCAACATTTAGAGTTAATATTATACTTCTATTATGTATAAAATAAGATTTTGTGGTATCAACTAGTGTAAATATTTTAAATTGAAGATCAAATTCGTTCATTGCATTCTTATAGGGTCGAGGAGTGTAGCTGTAAAAAAAATCATCAAAACTGGAGCTAAAATAACCGTTAAATTGTGATTTTTCGTTTATAACCGTTGAAAACTTTTGTTCCATTACCTAATCTCTGAACGTTTGTTTTTTGTGATTTTTTACGTAAGTGATCTCGGAGTTTGTACAAACAAGTTTGACGGTTAGATCATTGAAAAAAGTTTCGTACAATGTGTATCACATCAAAACGGTAGATTAAATAAACACTTAAGAGTTAATGTTATACTTCCATTAAGTATAAAATAAGATTTATACACTAGTGTGAATATTTTAAATTGAAGATCGAATTCATTCATTGCATTCTTATCAACAATTAAATTTTAATCTATGGTTTATGGGATTATAGTGTTAAATTTTGGAGTTGACATCTTCACAAAAGTTGTAGATCTTATCATTACGAGCATATATATATATATTTTTTTTTATATTTTTCACTTCTACATTAATTAAAAAATTATTAAAAAAACTTAATACAATAATAGCAATAGGATTTAATCTAAGTGACCGTGTGTTTTGGAGGGCTGCCAAAATTTTGGCATGGCGCCTTTTATTTTCAGCTTTTCATTTTCAAAATTTTGACATGGCACCCAAAAACTTGACTCTCTTCAAAGAGAGCGCCATTTCGACTCTCTCCTCTGCAAACCCGAGCCCAATTCCACCTTTTCGACTCTTAATGCATAAATATGAGAACCAAACCCTAGTCGCCTTCATCACTTCCACAAATCCTAGGCCAGTGCGAATTGCAGAGCCCAGGTCCTCTTTTTTTCAGTCATGCAAGGATAGAGCAGATCATGCATCTCTGATTCTGAAATCTCCACCACCATGGTAAATCTCCGATACCCAACCCACTTTCCCGTCTCTAAATCGAATCATTCGTTGTTAGTTTCTGTCTCCAAAATCTCACTACCTTTTATGGCTTTTTCAGGCTGACGTTGAGAATAAGCGGCGGCTGAAGTCTCAAAGAAGAGAACATTCAATAAGTTCAGCTTCACGGGCGTCGGTTTGCTCTTCTCGACATGTCCACTGATGAGCTCATCAAGCTCTTCCTTGCCATAGCTCACAGAAGGTAATAAACACATGTCTCGATTCAATTTCTTGGATTGATTTTTGTTGGATTTGTGAATTGGGTTTGAATTGGATTGGATTGTGTGTTGTCTAAAGATTGGATCTAAGCATGTGTGCTGTGGTGGGTGTGTTGGTGCTGTCGTGACTAAAAGAAGTAGAAAAGAAGGAAAAACATAATGAAATTTGGCTTCTGTTGCAAGGATCTAAGCATGTGTGCTGTGGTGAGTTTGTTTTGGCGTATTAAATTTTTCATCCATTATGATTATCTTATTTGTCTATTGGTAGCATCCTTGTATATCATGGTGATTTTGACTGGGGTAGATGTCTCCTTGTAATGATATTCTGCTTTGGATCAATGTTTAGGTGGGATGCAGTTTCAGCTGGCGTTATGCATTCTGGGGAGAGGCATTTGTGATGAAATTATGCAGTGTTTGCAGCTTACCATTTATCCCTTGAAACTTCCTTCCTTGCTGATGAGGGTGCTACTCTGCCCAAGACGACTATGAGACGCATCGGTATATATTTTTTTTTATTAATATATTTTCTGTCGGTTTTATCCGATAAGAATGATTTTATTTATTCCTTATTATTATAATTTTTGTCGGTTATAACCGACAGAACTTATGTTGGTTTTAGTCTTTTCTGTCGGTTTTATCCGACACAGAATACTCTAATTTATTGTTTATTAATATATTCTCTGTTGGTTATATCCAACACATTTTCTGTCGGTTTAGAGTATTTTCTGTCGAAAAATTCATTTCCTGACGCAGGCAATTCTGTCGCTTATTATATCCGTCACTGCACCCATTTTCTGTCGGATTTTGCTTAATTTCAGACAGTGTTATACATTTCATGTCGGTTTTTAAACCGACACTAATGAGGACTTTTGTAGTAGTGACCCTTGGGAAATTACTGCTTGCTTATCGAGACAACAAATGTGTGGTCGATATCACAAGCAGCCGACTGTTGTATCGATAAGTTATTTGTTGGATTTGTTAAGCAAGTGGGCAGGAAGACCCGTCGGATAGCTGTTACGGTTTTGTGATTGTTGGGGCTCGACCCAAATATAATTTTTCTTGTAGTACGTGACGTTACGTATGTTTGGGCGAGACCCATTTTCATTTTCAGTTTTGGTTTTCAGTACACGTATTTTAACTTACCTTATTATAGTTATATATTTGTTTTCTAAAGTTACAAATGTTTGGTTGAGTCTTTTCCACTTTCAGTGTTAACTTCTGTTAGTACCATATTATATTAGGCCTCGTTACTTGGGCTTCTAGACATTGAGCCCATGATCTATGTAAAAGGGGAGGAGCCCTTAGTCTATAAAAGGGACTTCTCACCCTCATAATCCTCATGCCTCACATCCCCAAACAGAGGCTCTCATATTCAGAGCATCCATCTCTCAACTCTCTTCCTCTGTGAACCCAACAGAGGGCAATACCCTCACAAACACAACAACACTTTGCAATCCATACATACAGTTACAGAGGAATACAATCAACATCAGTGTGGACGTAGCCCAAACATTGGGGTGAACCATGATACATCTTGTGTTCTTTACTTTCTTGTAGATTCACGGTCAGATTTACGTTGTTCCAAGACCTCTCCGGTTTTGTGCATCAACAACTTCAATAAGAACTTTTCGACACATATATATTTTGACGCTATCGTATTTTACGTACATATTTTTCACCTTACCTCAATATGTGTTTTCGACTTTATATGCATACAAAGTATGTTTTCTACTTTTACACAGATGGGGAAAGAAGGTATGAGCCTGGAGGCACGAAAGATGGAATCATTGCAACCCGATCGCAATGGTGTGGCATTTTCCCTTTTGTGCAACCGCTCTGACTTGATTTCTTCGTTACGTAAATATATATTTTTCTTCTTCCTATTTTCGAGTTTTTCAGTGTAGCAAGTTATTTCAAATTTTGGGATGAAATTTTATTTAGTAGGGGTAAATTGTAACAACCAGTCTCGATTTTATCGGAACGAAGGGGGTATTTTCATGAAATTGCACATTGGGCTAGATAATTTTCTTTTAAAATTATTTTTGGGACTTAATGGGTGTGCCAAGGGGCCCACCCCTAACTTTTGTCCCTCGGGCCCAATTGCTCTCTCTCCCTCACCTCTCCCATTTCTCTCTCTTTCTTTCTATCTCAGCTCTCCCTCTCGACTCTCAGTGCTTTTTCCACCCCAACGATCAATGCCCACACATACTTACACACCTACAACGTTAACAACAACACACCCTCATCACCACCTTTTGACTACGACGACCAAGTAAGGCTAGATAACCATCTCTTCCTCTCTTATTCTCGGCACAGTAGCACGATCAATGTGTTTGTGACCTCTGGCGTGTTTCTTGAATCTCCGATCGTGGTAAGCACTTTATACCTCTTTAGTTGTTGTTATAGGTTAGATTGGGTCATTTTTGAGAAACTTGGAACATTTGAACGCAGAAAATGCTTCGGGGGGAAGCATTTCCATTTTTCCGACGAAGACCGGAGGTTTGCAGGCATTTTCTGACCAACTCCGGCCACCTCTCGACCTTCAATGGTACGAATCTCTTCCTTGCTTCACGGGCTTCAATTTGGTATATTGGTTTGCATGTTTTGGTCACGTTTCGAGGTTAAACATAGCATGAAAGCTCCAACTTTCTCCTTTCTTTGAAATTCGGCCAACCTGACCCATCAATTAAACTTGCCCAACTCATTAGGCCATGAACCCAGCCCAGCTGTTAAAGCCCAAACCTAAGGCTTTCGGCCCTATCTAAACCCAAACCCATATTTGTAAAACCCTAACCCAGGCCTTGGGCCATGGAACACCAGGCTAAATGGGCAAACCCAATTCCTTTGAAACACAACCCTAAATCCTATAAAACCAGGCCTTTGGGCCTATGACCCTTCGACCCAAACCCACCAGCCCAACCTTGATGGAATATTCTCTAGAATATTTCTTCAGGGAATACTCTCTAGAATATTCTTGGAATATTCTTAGTGTTGACTTTTACGAAATTTACCCGGGACCCTTCTTAGGGTAATTCGACGTCCTGAATTTTTTTTTAACATCTTTTTCCCCAAATTCAACCGTTATATTAGAGTTTTATTAATTGGACCCTTTATGTGCTTAGGGGCATTTATTGTGGCAATTCTGCATTTGTTAGTTTGTGTGGCTCTTCGGCGGCAAAGTATCTATGAGTGGACCCCTTCTAAAATGCATGTTTTAATAGTAAAAATACATACATGAAAAGCATGATTTAATGATTACGTTTTATGAGATATTATGCTTATTGAGAATATTTTAGAATACCATATTTTATCGAACTTATGTTCTTTGTAGTATATATGATGGATGACTATATACTTCTTATGAACATGTTTTTACACTTCTTTATAGTATATATGATGGATGACTATATGCTATGAAGATGCTTTGAGATATAAGTACCTATGTTTGGAAAGACTATGTTCAATGATTTTGTGCGTATCTAGTGGTTACCGTGCCGCCTATGGGTGAGGGATATGGTTGTTGGCTGCGGGTTAGGAGAAATAATCTTTGGCTTTGGGCCGAGAGACATAGAGCTGGCATTGGGCTGGGAGAAATAATCTCTGGCTTCAGGCGTAGAGACATTGTTATTGGATACCACTATTTAGCACCCTATATACGAGATATGTTTCATGAGAAGTTTTATGGCATGCTAGGGTTTTCGGAAAACCTACTATTTATTATGCTATGAGTTTTCATTTAAACTTTGGGGGTTAGTATGTTAATAACTGTTTCAATATTATATATATATATATATATATATATATATATATATATATGTTTGTTTTGCGCCCCTTCAGGACTTAGAATCAAGGCATACAATCTCGACTTTAAGGCACTCCTGCAGTTGCATCTTCGAGTCCTCTTAGTGTAGGACTCATTCCTTTATTCATTCAATTATATATATTTTAGTGTTCTAGATTAGTTATATGCTCCGAACGCGTTCCTCATTTGCATATTATTTATATTTAAATTTATAAGTCTTATTTATTTCTTGTTCTCATGCATTCTAATATGGCTTTGTCAACTTCGGATGTAGGCCAGTACGTGCCTACCATAGTATTTGGGAGAATATCAAGGTCGGGTGTGTCAATAAGACAACTAATTTTAATCATGTGACATGTTAAAAACTATCCCAACATGAACATTATTTGTTGAGTTAATTGTCATTGTCTGTACTTTTGATTAAACTAATCGAACAATTATTTCTCACTGCTTCATCAACCAATATACAATGCAGTTACTTCAAAACAATTCCTAGAATAGTCGATTTCCAAATTCTGCATATCCGAACTTTGATTTTGTCTGCCTTCGTGTATGGTCTTAACTAATCAACATGAGTTGGTCAGATGTTCTCCATTTATCCTATGAAGAAGAAATTGTAACACATTAGAAATTCCCATAAAACCACATAAAGAAAAAATAATAAAAGTTATAAACGATGTGCAATTTACTTATCCATGTTGTGAAAAAAAGAGACAAAGAGTTGAGCAACCATCATTATCTACCAAAATTACAAAAAAGAAGGTATGAACCCAAAATTGATTAAAAAAAATGGAAAACTAACCAAAAGCCCATGAAAAGTTTCCTTTTAATCATCAGGACAAATTTTTTTGGTAATACCTAAATTGGGCATAAGAAAGGTGACAAAACAAAACATGCAGCAACCCTTGAAAACTTTTGGACAACAATTGAATGCAAAATGATAAAGTAAGGGCACGAGCTTCAGAATATAAACCATTCATGAGGATTCACATGGCCTTTATTAAAGCAAAAGAAAGAAACGACAAGATCCTGTCAGAATCAGAAACAGTGTCTACAGATTCAGAAACAGTGCCAAAAGGGAAGATAAGGCATACCATTCAATTGTAAAGAATTTTGTATGTTAGCATCCTTATTCAGTGTATATAAGGAGAAATTCCTTTCATTGTAAAGAACACGGAAACAACACAACAGAGAAACACCATACTCACACTAACCTTCAATCCTTATACACTCAAGCATCCAATACCTTCCTAGCATCCTTTGTAAATATTTCTTTGTAAACACTTCTCTTTGTAAACATTCTATATATCAATAAAAGTTCAAGTGTACATATTCAGGCAACCTCCAAGTCTTAAGTAAGTTTTTTTTTCTTTCTTTAGTGTGTTTGTTTCATTAGACTTTTAGTCCAAAACAGGGAAACACTATTGTAGTTATATTATTAACTTGCTAAACTGACGATCATATTTTGTTCGAGCACTCTGTTATAGTTGAATGCTTGCCATATAAATAACTGGACATTAACCAGGGTACCTCTGAGTTTTTCGTACCTCTGAGTTCAGTCGTTAAGGCCTTATACTTATACTGTGAGTGGTCGTCATGCTGAAAC